GAAGGTTCGCAGCCAATGGCTCGGACAGTCAGACTGCTCTGCAGGAAGATTTATGGTGGAAAGCGCACGGAAGCATGGCGTCCCGTGAAGAGCACCTAATCCAGTCTTCCACCGGTCTACACCCTGGGGAAAAAAGCGCAGCATTGGACTGTTTGAAAGATCCAGCGACATCGGTTGTTTTTCAACTCTGTTTGGAGGGTGCTCCTCTAGACGATGTGCCTCGTCGCGTCCGGTCCGTGCTTTCTGTGGGTCGTCTGACTGCTCGTCAAGCAGCAAAACAGGTGCCACCACAGCTTGCAGCTCGAACATCCCCGCGTCGGTCTCATTCAAAAACACAACCTCAACATGCGAGGACCTTCGAGGAAGTTCTCCCTTGGAATGAGTTTGAAGGGAAAGTGGATGATTTTGTAAATTCCTTGGATGACCAGTATCTGCTTTTCCAGAAACTCCAGCAAGGTGTCCAGGAAGGGGCAAAGCCACTCAGCCCTGCCGCAAAAGAGGGGACGGTGGAAGCCCCTCTCATGACCTATGTAGCTAATGTAGCGAACGCAATTGTTGAGACGGTGGGGTGTGGAGCAGTTCTTGTGTCAGGAGGCTCAGGGCGGTCAGCATCCGATACAGACCAAGTAGTCGCCATCAGATCTTTGCTTGGGCAAGCCCGTCCGCAGAGTAGTGACCTGGTTCTCGGCCCTGTGGAGGTCAAAGGGAACTGGCAGCTGAAACTGGTCAAGGGCGACTCCATCGAGCTCTTGTTGAGGGACCCAAGGAAGCGAAAGCAGGTGGAACTGGCCCTGCAGCAGCTTTTTGGTGACATGGTGGAAGATGAGGCCCCATTTGGAATGCTCTCCACTTATGAAGCAATCGTCTTCCTGGCGCGCCATCCTGACGTGCTCAAAAAGACCCTGTTTTGCTCACGAATTTATTGGCAAGACGAGGGATCCCCCAGCCTGATCGCAGCAACCTGTACATTCCTGGATCTGTGCTGGAAGGGGAGGGCGCTGAAGGACCGGCTGCCACGTGATGATGTGCCAGTCACGTCAGTCGCGGGCTACACCGTCGCTCAGTTGCCAACAAGTACCACTCGAGGCAGAGTCACGTGAGCATCAATTTGTAGCTGTTTGTAGTCTATGAAGCAATAGTTGGTTTGCGACCTGATTCAAATTTGTTTAGACCCTGCACAATGACGGGCCATGCAGCTGAGAACCTGCAGGTTTGGGACTTGGTTGTGTTGTATTTAGAGCTGATGAAGCCTCTTGCATTCAGCATAGTAATCAGGTTTTGTGAGCAAGACCAGTCTTCAGACAGCTTGGAAGCGCAGATAGAGCTTGGCAATCTGCATCACAGATCTGTAGGCCTGCGCTCTTTTGCAAGTCCGGCTTTCTCTTGAGAGTACCATGCAGAGCTTCTTACACATGTCTTGCTTGTTATCCATTGCAGGAGGCCTCTCCCGTTCTCTGTGAAGGCACCAACTCCCCGACCAACTTCAGGGAAGCGGAAAAGAAGGGCAACGAGTCTGGAAGATTTCCAGGTCACAAGTTTTGGCAGCATAGGGTACAAAGGAACCCTAGTGGCAAGCGGTCGCCATGGCAACCTCATCTTCGTGAGTCTCCAAACTTTTCTTATGATTCTAGGAAAAAAGGGGCAAGATGTTACTACATCAGATGTGTACCCTGTCTGCATTTTTGCCTTCATTTGTGGGTGCCTCCATATGTGTGCAGCCTCTTCGAGGTGATTGGACGGACAAAGAGGCTCCTGCACTCCCCCTCTGGCCTCACGGCACTTTTGCTTCCAACCAGCATACGAGTCTGTTGTTCTCCAAAATCTACGGAAACTTCCACATGAGGGAGGTGACGGATCGATCCATCAAAGTCCATAAAGCAGGGTTAGGCAAGCATTGAGTTGGTTGTCTGAAAAGTTGAAGAAGCACAAGCAGCAGGAATGATGGAGCAGTCTCCCTTCAACTGCGCCACCGTTAGAACTGCTCGAAGCTGCCAGCAGACAAAAACATCTGGCAGCTTGACTGAGAAGTTTATCAGACCAATGCACAGAGTGTAGATTTACAAAAAGTGCGCGTTTATATCCGGCCCCCTGTCCTCTCTGGTCTATGCAGCATAAGGAGAGGGCGGGGCCAAAGGAGGCGCTATGGTTTGACTTGTCTGGCGAAGCCTGAGTTACTTAAGGTGCTTTGTGTGTGCTTAGACGATGTGCGTTAACCAACAAATAAGCTGACTTTTAAGCACAACATTGAACCTTATCTGCTTCTAGACATCCTCGGAGATTTGGGCGTTTTTTGGAAATATGCCACCCTTTGCTTTGCAGGGGAGTATCAACGGGGAGCCCGTCGTCATAAAAAAGTACGAACTGCGGAGGAGAGCATCAGCTGACGCCTTGGAGCGCGAGTTTGCGCTGTACACGAGCAGCGAGTACGCGGCGCTGCAGGGACAAGTGATCCCCCGCCTGATCAAGTACGGCCTGCTGCCCCATTCGGGGACACCCTTCCTCGCGCTCTCATATGAAGGTGAGCCGCTCTTTACAGTAGTCTTCTGCATACAAGCTCCATATTGACCGTGCATACAAGCTCCATATTGACCGTTCTTGACCGTTCTGTCGAGGGATGTCTTCAAAAGCAACGCATGCTGGCCGCGTCTTTCCTTGCCTTTCCTTGCTCTTGCTCGTCGTCAGGAAGCTTTGCTTGTATGCATTGCATGCTTTTGCTTCTGCCGCTTTTCCGCTTTTCTTGAAGCGATGTGTTGATTTTGGAACTAGAGTCTTCGTTTTTAAAGATATTTTCGATTGCAGGTGCCCCTCTGGAGGACACGGCGAGAACGCCTGCAATAGTTGCCGCAGCTACAAGCGCACTTGACCGATTCCATGCGGCGCGTCTCCTTCATGGGGACCTCTCCCTCAACAACCTGCTGGTTGACAAGGATCATGTTATCCTGTGTGATTTCGAGTCCGTGCAAGAAACCGCACCAGAAGAGGACCAGCTTCTAGAGAAGAAGTTGTTGCTAGAGCTGGTTGCGGAGGCAGAGGAAACTGTGCGCTGAAGCTCAAGGCTCATTTCTAGTTAGATAAAAGTACTGCTTCTAAGTCCAGCCCAGCCTCTTTGAAGAGGCAGTGAACGCACGGGTCATTCTACTTTGGAACTCGTTGAGCATCAGCAGCTTAATGTCGTTCGCTCCGACAAGTTCCTGTGAGATATCAACCATAGCGCCCTGCAGACTCGCCTCACATGTGGTGATAGGACTCGTTTTTGTAGACAGATTCGGCCATCTATACGACGCTGCGTCCAAACGAATGAATTCGGAGTCCTTGAACTTCCATGGCTGCGTCAAATCTCAAAACCGTCTCTCAAGTGCTTACTAGTGGTGCAACACGTTTCTGGCCCATCATTGGGTTGCATGACTCATCTTATCTGGTATAGTTACTGGGCCTGGATCGAGCCTTAGTCAAGTGCATGCCACCATCCTTAATTCTCATAACATGCTCGTTAAGGTTATCAACCTCCTATTGAGTACGGGATGTATATAGGTGCAGTTATAGTGATATGCATGTAAGAACAAATATAGCATGCAATGCACCAAACTTACGCCAGGGGAGGTCGTTTTTGCAAATTTCTTGCACATGCTATATGTAGTGCGTATGCATGCATCTAGCTAGAGCTGATATTGAGAACGATCCGAGTCGCTGCATACTATGCATGGTTCGATATTAGCATGGCATGCCACCTGTTTGTCTTACAATGATCGCAGTGCGGACGTTGTTCAGAATTATGTAGCTACTGTAGCGCTAGATCCTCATCATGGCATGTATGCAGCGCTGGCAGTAGTTCGAGCCTAGCTGTCCGGGCCAGCCTAGCTATAGCTAACGTGCAAGCTTGCACATTTGCCGCTAGCTCGATCGATCATATAATCAGTCTAACAATCTTGGCATCTTCGGAATCGTGCATAAATATGCTCTTTCGACCATTTGTACATATCGAAAAACGAACTTCCCATGCTTACCAATCCGGCCGCACCATTAATGAACAACGTACTGCAACCTGTTACCCTTTGATAAGTGATGCAATCTGCGCTGCACCCTAAATTGATCGAGGCAAGCCGATTCAGTGTACCAGGAAAGCCGAGTAATCCAGGCAAGCCGAATAATCCGTTCGATCAAGAACACTGTTGTTCGCATCAATGTATTGTGCCATGGAGAACTTGAAAGAGAGTAGGTGGCACTAAGGGTCAAATACATCCTTACAGCTATGCTGACTTTCTAGGTAACGAACCAATTGCAGGATAGGCTCGACCAGACCGACTCCGTCCGGATACTGTTTTTACGCAGCCTTTTGACCCTCGTCAGAAGGTTGATGGGAAAGATCACCTCATTGAATTGAGAGACAATTTGATCCTTGCGCACTCATTCCACGTGCGGCCTCAGCTATCTATGAACAATCGTTGTAAGATGCCTCTTCCGGATCCGTACCCTCTGCAATAAGTTGCAAAGCTTGATGGGTTTTCTCCGCACTATATACCTGAGAGATTAGGATGTCGCTCGGCTCCCAACAGAGCACGTGAAAAAAGTCAACGAACCATCTGGTGATTGGTCCAAAGCCTCCGAAATGGTCCCGGCCCTGCAAAAGTACGCAACACTGCTCAGAGTGAAAGGGCCACTGATGCCTGCCTGCTGCGATTTGTGCACGCAGTTGTGTCAAAGTCGCCAGGGATTCTTCTACCTGCTGCTCCTTGACACTGCTTCCAGTGGGGCAAGGCGCCTTATAGGTCAAACGCAATGGATGAAAGCCTGCTCTTTGTGCACTCGATTGCATGAACTTCAAAGAGGTTCTTCGACGGCGGACTGGGGGGATGCCAGGTGCTTACCGACAGCCATTCCGACTGAATCGACAGGCTCCTAAAACCAAGCATGGAGAGTCCCATGGCTCGTGAAACTTTACTAGAGGCTCGCGCATGGGACACTTTGCTTACCATCTCCGTACGCTGCTAGGTAATCTGCAAAGTTGTCGGGGCCTAATCCCAAAAGTCAGCGAGAACACATCACTGACAATCAACGGGCCCCAAAGGAACGAGAAGGAGGTAACTGACGAAACGAGAAGCTGGAAAATGGCTTACCGGCTGTGGGTCGTGGGGGAGAAAGCAGAGAATGGTGCCAACGTAGGAGCAGAACTTAGAAACGAAGCCGAATGTGAATCTAGAAAAGAAGCCGAATGGAAACCTAGAAAAGAAGCCGAATGTGAACCTGTGACACGAAAGCGGCATCAGCCACGCAAGCAAGACTTTCTGCTTGCTCAGTACGTAAAGGCTTGGGTGAATCTTGATCAGCGGTAAAGGAGCTTAAATCTAATCGAACGTTGCAAGAGAGATCGATAATCCTGGAACAAACCCAAAGCGAAGGCTTCTTTAGATGACGTGAATCCAGATACAAACGGAGTGCTCCCTGATTTAAAATGAAGACCGAGACGATGGGTCCAAACGCATTGCCAAATGATAGATCTGCAGATTACAACGCTCCACTAGAGCGCCTCGACGGAATCCTCGAGTACGCGCAGTCGGCGACACGACACAAAAGTGGATCTAGACCGTAGGAGGTGGAAGTGGACAATGAGAACGCAAGCAGCGCTTGAGTCAAGCGTGCTCATCTAATCAGAGTACGACGCCGCTGGTTCATGTTGTTGAGGTGTGACGGGCGTCTCTGCCATCTGCTGCAAAAACATGAGGGAACAACAATCAAGAGATTCCTCGGAGTTTGGGGGCGCACTAATGAGCGATTGAGCTCATGTGAGCATTTGATGTAGGCAACGGCTGAAGGAGTCCCACTTTGGAAGCATAGGCCTGAAAGCATGCAGGGCTGGGCAGCTGCAGAACCAGACAAGCCCGGGAACAAGAGCTTCACCATAAAGTCTGGGGCGCGACGCGGCAGTCCACACACTCTGTTGTCGCAGAGCAATCAGCCTGCACAAGATGCATATGCCCATGAATGCATGTGGAATATATCATTGAATTGAGTTGCCTACAAACACGTTTCTAAGTTGCTAACCAGGCAACCACTGCGAGGGGGCAGCCCCCAATCATTGAAAAGCAGGGGCTGCCCCTGGCTCTGGAGGGCAGCCTTGGCGCTGTGAAGGGGCAGTTTCCTCCACGGAAGAAAGCAGGGGCTGACCCCGATCTTTAAGGGCAGCCCTGGTGCTGCGAGGGGGCAGCCCCCTTCAAAAGAACAAGCAGGGGCTAGCCCCGACTTTGGACATCAGCCCAGCGCCCCCTCTTTGAGACTTGGAAAGCATCCATTCTGGAGCACATAGCACAGGCCCTCGGCATTGTCAGAAAGAATGAGAAGGAAGTCGCTCTTACCTGAGCATGTCCACGCGCCTGCATGCACCAAGCGCTGAACGCAGGTTGCCAGCTTCCGAGCTTGGTCCAGAGCTCCCTCCAGATTTGGACCCTTTGTTCTGTCAAGAAATGAAGAGAAAGACCCTGACAACCCATAAAATCGAGCTCAGAATGCTGCCAGAGGGTGCCAGAGAGCGCCATTGGGTGCCGGCGCCAGCTGTGCTGAGTCATCAGGCTGCTGACTCAGCAAGAATCTTCTGCCTTCTTCGAGAAACGTCGGGAAGAATCAGGCAGGTCCAAGACCTGCCGCAACGTGCCAGACCTCGCCAGCGCCACCTCTGACTAGCGACCTGGTTGACCTGAATTTTCAAGTCAGCCCTGGAACTCTCGAGAAGCAAGTTACAGGAGACAAGTCAGGAGACAAGGCAGCATTGCAATCAGCATTTCGAAAACAGAAACGCCTTGAAGAAAGCAACGGTGACGTCCAAAACTTCTGGCAGAAGTGTCCCTGACTCCTGAGCGAGGCGACGCAAATCTAGATTTGGGCAGCTAGGATGAGACCGCTGGCAACTAGTATAGGTAGCTCAAAATACCTGGTCCTGCAGCCCAACTCGGAGTGAGCGGGAACGGCTAAAAGGAGAACGGTAACGGCTGCCATGGCCTTATGGCGCATAGGCTATGCCTGAAGTGCAACGCCCGGGGCGGAGTTGGGTGGAAATGTAAGGTCGCGCCAACTGGGCCCGATCGAGGGGGGGCGCCGCGGCCGCGAACCCGGGCCAGTCGAACATATATGTCGGATATTTCCGTAGTCCTGCTATTAAGGGGCCCTGTCCCCTGCACGTACTCGTGCGGCGCCACTATGTCGTGTGTTGAACACCGTGTTGGTCCAGCCCGCCACCCCCACGAAGCGCCATGCGGTGGGGCTGTCCGTTGTGGACTGTATGTGGCGCTGCCGCACATACCACCCCCCCTTCCTCGTCTTTTTGCCACCGCTACCAAAAGGTAAGTGGAAACAGGCCCCATGCCGGAAAGTCAACTATCGGTTATGTGGAAACCATGCATCTTGCATTTTTACCCTGCGTCTTTCACAAGCAGACGTCAAGAAGGTGTGGAGCCTCATCGGGACAAAGCTCGCCAATGTTGCTGGCTGCAGAACGAGTCACCAACGCTTCTCTTTCCCACCACTTGGTGCCTGATGTGTTTGTTCACACTATTCAACACAAAGGTTGGCCTGCTTGGTTTCTTTTTGCAGAGACAAACTTCGAAACATTTGCGTCCACATGCCGCATCAAGCTGTCAGAGGCGTTGGTGGCCATTCCCCCGTTGGCTGGACGCTTCGTGGTGAGAACCGAGCGAAGGGTATCTTCCATAGCTTTTCAGCGACGGGCCAACCTGCTTAAGCCACGCTCCTAGGATCCTGGGAATCGACTTCGCCAAAACAATACAGGTTCTACTTGCATTCTCGGCTCGTTTAGTAATCTAGCCCTATTCGAATCTCTGGCTAACCCAATCTCAGATTCTGACGAACAATCTGCCCAGCTTTGTCATTTCAGCCATTGACCATGAGTTGTCTCTCGTTCTTCTTCTTTAACACAAGCTATCCTTTCAAGCTTCGAAGGATCCCCTCATGACCAAAGTGCTGCGCTCGGGGCAAGATTGCCTTGAATGCACGGTGTGGTCTCTGGTCTGAGTACAAATCAACAAGCTAACCGCATCCAAACTCGAGACACACTGACTCTAGGTGACACCGGCAAGCGCTTCCGTTGTCCCTTTCCGTTCGTCTCCAGCCCTGGCCCCCCGCTTTTGCAGGCTCGCGATGGCGGCAACCTGGCTGTCGACTGTAACGATGCAGGAGTCCAGTTCCGTACGGCAGTGGCGTACTCGCCGCTGCCCCGGAAGCTGGGTTCCGGTGTGACTTTGAACGGAACGGAACCGCTGTCCTTTGAGGTTCCTGGAGCGGGTGGGGATGTCCCGCTGCTACTGATGCAGGTATTGCCGGAATCAAGGGCGTGTGAGGCTGTCTATTCAGGCAGCGGGGCTTGCTTTGTGTTTAGGGGATTTTTAGATGCGAAGCGGAAAAGTTGGTGTGGCACTCTGATGACCGACCATGAAAGTGCATCCTTCGTTTCCCTCACCAGAGCAGATAAGCAGAGATATGTTCAGCTGGTGTATTTCAAAGCGCTGATCGGAGTCATTTCACGAATGGTTCGGACCCAGATCCTTCACATCGTAAGTTTAGAGTACAGGATCGCACGTAATTTGCCTGCACCGTGTTTGTGATCGCAGAAGGGCAGGGTCGAAATTGCAAAGCATGAGTACTTTGTATTTTGTCGAACTAAACTTCGAAGTGTGCCTTTCCGTTTTCCCGAAGCGTGCATTTCCGTTCCTCGACCGCAGGTGACTCACTTCCATGACGACCGGCTGTGCGTCTCCTTTGGGTTCCATCCGATGTTCACTGACGGCTGGGGCGCCGCTACGTTCGCCGGCTACTGGGCTCATCTGATGCGCGGGGAGAAGCCGCCAGTCGGGCTCGAGTATGCGAGGCCCACAAACCTTCAGGTGAGCTGTCCAGAAGGATAAAGAGAAAACGGATATAGGAACGAATATAGGAACAGGGCTCCTCTAGGGGTGTCTCTCGGTTAATGGTTACATTGCACGTCAGGATTAGGAGACCAGATTGTGTCCACTTTGCAGCATTGCGCTGACGAACCGGTCTGAAGCAAGGTGCGACCTGAACATCGACCGCCTGTTTCGAGGAAGTTCTTTTAATAGACGGTACCCAATGCAGATTCTTGAAGCATTACGCGCCATGCTTGAAAGCGTTGACCAGGACATAGGTTCCTCTCGCGCAAGATCCACTCTCGATGCGCACAGATCTATGACAATTCCTGGTCTCTGGACAAGTGGCACTGCCCGTGACTCGAGCATGTAATGCAAATTGTTTTTCCGACTGCACTGTGAACCGGTCCACTCAAATCAGGACCATTCTTCTCACCTCAGGCTTCTGGTCGTCCGCTCGCGTCGCGGTACCACCCCGCCCTGTGCACCGCCCCTCCGTTTGCCCTGCGCATTGAGGCATTCATCTCCTTCCTCCCGAGAGGCCTCCCCCAGGTCCAAGTCATCCACCACCGCTGCTTCTTCCCAACCGCCCAGCTCAAAGTCAGGCCGCCGCCCCACTCTCGTTATTGCAAAGATTGTATCCACGTCTGATTCATTTCAAGATTGTAAGAGTTGGCCGCTTGTCTGACGCAATGCGGACAGCGTTCCCTCAGCAGCTGGCTGAGGGAGCTGAATCCATCGGTTTGTCGAATGTCAACTCGATTGACGAACGTTCATCAATCAAGAGCAAGGATTCGCAACAGCTTCTTACTATCATTCTTGGCATGGTCAGACAGGCTTGGTCTCCCAAATTTGCCGGGGCAGGAGTTGACTGCTGAGGCCGATCGGGACCTGCCCGCTGGAGAGTCCGCCTCGACGGACGACGCGCTGTCCGCGCTTCTCTGGCGCTCCATCACCGCAGCAAGGGGCTGGCCCGAACGGAATCCCGGCAGGTAGAGCCGTCGACTAGCGATTTCATGCAACCCGTTGGGGGAAAAAGGTCATGAAGGCTCGGTTATACGGCCATACGGTTCACCAGAAGGCCGTCAGTTGCGGCTGCACGTTCTCGTGATTGGTGTCATTAAGGCGAGCCTTAGGCAAGCAAGCAGAAATGTTCAGGAGTAGCTCACAGAGACGTATGTCAACGCAAAACCAGAAAGCGGCGCTTTGTGTTGTCAATCCAACGAAGTAAGCACGTACCTTTATTCTGCTTCGGGGTCGCTCTTGATCCTCACGGGAACGGATCTGATACCAGGCGACGGGATGACGGCACAATCTGACAATATCGTTGCGAACCCGTGTCTGCTTTCACTTCAAGATGGAAAGCGACGTTGTTGACTTGTTTCCAAGTCCGGCGTCTTCTTACATTGCTAGGCTTATGCGGGCCTCTCTTCTGCGGCAGGTTACTCGCTTGGTGATTCTTCAGAACGGGCGGAAGATCATCCCGATCCGAACAGGGTACGTCGGAAATGTGCTCATCCCCCACCGGACGGGACCGATCGCTGTCGAGCACCTGTGCGCCGAGCCGCTTACCTGGGTGAGCAGCTGCACTGAGGAAACACCGGCTGCACTAACGTCACCCCCCTGCTTCGAGCAACTTCACACGTGCACATCTGGATTGGACAGGAGAGTAAGAGTAATCTGTGTTTGAGCATGGGATTTCCCTAATATCTCTTCCTGAATCGGCCCCCAAAGGACAGTCCCTTGTTTTGACGAAGGTAGATTTTTCAACTGCACAACTTTAAGTCAGAGTAAAGGCTTGCGCCAACATGTCTCCCAACTTGTCTGTAAGGAGTACCTGAGTTCATAGGTATATGTGATTCAAGGTTGTGAGTCACTGTTGTTTTGAACTGCGCCCTTTCGTTGTGACCTCAGAGCGCGCGCCTGGTGCGCGCGGCGGTGAGGCGCGCCGACTCGGGCTTCGTCCAGGCGACGGTCGACTGGGTCACCGCTCAGCCGGACGTCGCCGCCGTGCGTCTCCAAGCAGACCACCACCGGGGCCCTGACGTGTGCATCGCGTCAGCGCCAGACTTGCCGCTCGCGTCACTCGACCTGGGCTTCGGGCAGCCCCTCTCCCTCGGACAAGCACATTCGTCGAGCGCCTCCGACGGGCTCGTGCTGCTGACGGCATACGACGAGAACGGGGGGGGAGTGTGCGCTGACGTCAGCCTGCTGGAGGGGCTCATGAGGGCGCTGCTCGCGGACACGGCCTTCAAGCGCTTCACAAAGGCGTCCCGGACGCCGGTCAAGAGGTGGGACGACGGCCAGTTCTACCGTCCGTACGTTTAGCGCGGACGCCTCAGGAGTCTAACTCAGCGCCGTCAGAGCTCTCAACCGCGCGTGGCTTGCTAGGAGAGTGTCAACTCGTAGAGCTTGGCCACTTCAACAGTGTGATTGGCTAGTCAGCTAGTCAGCTCGGAAGCATGGACGTGTACATGCTAGCAAGCAGTCTTAAGGGGTGGCCGGAGTGGTCCCCTTTGAAAACTCATGCAAAACTTCGGCATACTGCTGATCATTTCTTTTTGAACGCCGTGACTATCTTGGACGTATGCAACTGCGAGAGCCCTGCAGTTACCAACTTGATTCTGTGCATGACTAGGCTCACCCATGTTGACATGTTACGTGAAGGCCGCGGCTACAAGCTTTAATTGTGGGATCCCAGATCAAAAGGGTCAAAATCGTTACTATCTTGTTTAGTGTCTCTCATCCAAGGCGCAGTATTTAGCGCGGTCATTGACTACGTTTGTGTAATACGGTAACCGCTCTAGCTGCCTCAACTAATGCATCCGCCTGTGATTGTGCGTGACGGTATTTTCTAGGCCCGAGACCAACTTAAAGCTTGGGATATCTGCATCCGGTTCAATCAAGACATCACTTTCGGATACTGGCGAGTCGTACAATGACTTATCATGCACTTGGAAGGCGGGGGCCAGCTGCGTAAGCTATTCAATCACACCACCACATGCAACATACGCAGTACCATAGGTCCATGAGTATTTGCAGTTCATGGTCACTCCATATGTCGGGGCCTGCGCAGCTGCAAAGGGGCCCCGTAGCTAGTCTGGCCTCTATCAATAATGTACTAAGATCGGCCGGCCGGCATCTTCCTACTCGGCTTTTAAGATTGTGTTCAAAGATTGCGACGAGTTAGTTGCAATGTACGTGACAAAACAGAACCTGGTATAGCTCAACTTCTTTTTCGACATGTTCCGTGTTACTGACAGTCACGCCTACGACTGTTCTACTGATCCACCCGGCCGTGAGACATGGTTAGCACTGCGGCTATATGACACTGTTACTAGACGCGATCCTGCATCCGAACCTGCCGCAGTGCTTGAAGTGGAGATATATAGATTCGGCTGCCTAATGGGCGATCGATGTCATCTTGCAATCTGAATTGTTCGCCGGACAATCGAACAATGAGTGGATCGGTAGTGAATAGTAGCATCCACACCGAAGATGTTCGATGGGACATGTTTGAGCGACTTCAGCAGTACTCTTGAGCGCATCCACCACAATTTGCATGGTGAGCTAGTCGGCGTGCACTCAATGCTTACCAGTCAACGACGATTGGTATTAGTCGCGAACCTAAACTCACTGTTACCACTTGACCCACAAAACAATCATCAGTTTTAAGCAGAGATCGCCAACCAGCTGTACCCGCTGCTTCACAAAAGGGGCCTCAAATGTCTAGATCAACACTCTCGGTAGTTTGTAGTCTTGAAATGTACTGGTCGTAATACTGCAAGGAGAGGAGCCAACAACGTCAAAACGTGAGACATCTGCTTTGCGCTGGCCTGTAGGATTGAAAGATGAAAACGAACGAGAAAAAGGCTTCCGGTGATTCACGACTCGACACCTGTGCAACAGTCCAGACACAGAACTGCTCCTCTGACTTCCTGCGGCCAGTCAACTTCGAAAAAGGGGGGCAAGCCGTGATCGCCCACCTTTCCTGCCTTTTCAAGATCCCCGAGTTCCGTGTAGCAATCAGCAATCGCTCCGTATGCTTCCGAGTCCCCAGACGTGTCTCCCGCTCGCTCCGACGTCTTCAAAACGATCTCGTGATACCCAATAGCTTCTTTGTACCGACCTAAGCGTTGACAGGAGGCACCTGCAACCAGGGGAGTCAACGGCGATCCGATGAGGAAAAAGATAGTTACCGGTCTCATCCTGCTGAGGGCACGTACGGACATACCAGGGCGAAACGGAGATAGGGTACTCATGACGTCACCGCTTGCAAAAATTTCTCAAAGAGTTTGAAAGCAACCCGCGCTCAAAGAAGAAGGTTGGCCTCGGTGGCTCTTGAAGGAGCTTCGATCCGAGTCTTTGGCAAACCCCAATTGCGTATGCAAATTACACACCCCGCTCGTAAGTTCCGGCTATACGTCTCAAGTGCACGGATCGCCTAAGTCCATTCGACGCTTGCACCAGACCCTCATGCTCTCACCAAAATCTGAAATCCAGCTCCTAGTCACCTGCTAGGGCGCTAGACGATCCACAAACAGTGAAGGTGTGAAAATCTTTGGCACACTGAGAGGTGTGCACAGCCTAAATAAGTTTGCTGTCAACTTCGATTGCCAGGGACACAACGTCCAGGTACCGCTTGTTGTACAAGTAGCTTCCCAAGATAGAATTCACGAAAGACGAAGGTACGAAGTAGGGCAGAACCCTCGACAGGTGTAAGCCAGCTGGCGTGTGTTGCTGCCCTCACCGAGGCCCCTGGCCGCCTTCTTCTCGCAGTTGGCGTCCTGCGACTGGCGCGCCAGGGCCAGTGCGATTTTGAACTCCTCGAGCGCCAGCGCGGGCCGCTGCTCGCGCAGCCACTTCTTGCCCGTCTTGAGCCGCTTCAGCAGATCCGCCTGCTCGTGCGATACCCCGTTCACGGGCGCCGGGTCGGCCACCAGCGCGTTGCCGCTGACCACGCTGACGGGCGCGTACGAGAGGCCCGGCGCGTAGCTCTCCACGCGCGCCTGCCGGCGCAGCTGCAGGTTGATCTGCCGCAGCTGCTGGTTCAGCCGGTCCGTCTCCTCCTTGCGGTTCCGAGCACTCACGCCTGCGCCGCACCCGCACACTGGTCGGGCATCCAGAAACGCATGCCAGCCAACCTACCGGCCAGGCATCACTCGGAAGTAGTAGCAAGAATTCTCTCAACATCTTTGCAACTTTCGGCATCGAAGATAAGCTTGAAACAATGTGCAACGGGACTGCTGCGAAGGGCTGAGACCGCCAGGAAGCTGCGCTCATAGGCAACTTCACGCGTGGCGCCTCACCTCCCACCACCGCCCCAATCAGTGCAACCGCCTCAAGTACACTGGCAACCAGCACCACCGTGTTGGCATTGGCATCGATGCCAAATGCTTCGTCGAGCGCCTGCATTGCAAGCGGGCGTTGGGTCATCAAGGTGTTGCCAGGACCCATAAATGATTAGTTCCGGCTACAGGCGGCAAGTCTCCGGTCACTTCACCTACAGACAGGGGTCTGGCCAAACACAGAATGACGGTGGCCATGTCTGAGCGTGTGTCTCCTTTCGAACAATCTGATCAGCAACTACTCCTAAGGTAGCGGAGATGTCGCACCTCCTCTGCTGGCAGCAGGGCTGCGCAATCCTGTGGGGGCATGACCGCGTAGGCGGCGCCCGCACACAAGCAGCACGCGCCGATCACCGCCAAGGGGACCGCTCGCAGCCACAGGGGGCGGGCAGGAGCGCCAGACTGTTCCTGCACACGGCACCGGGGTGGTCAAGCAGTACTCATCACGCAAACTTTCGATCGTCCGCCGACAGCGGCCTTTCTGCGTTGGCCAGCTTGGCGCCCCTCCCCGGCAGTAGTGCCAGGACCGGCGCTCCCAGCTGGACGGTGCGTGTGAGGGCCACACTAAGCAAGTGCAAAGCACCCCGCCACAGGGCAGGGGCCAGCGCACCAGGAGCAAACCAACAATTATTATTCTATGGCGACTGGTTCATAACAAAGCGGTCAAGCAGTTGAGGCGCCATGCGAAAGAGACACTGGAAAACTGACTACGGCCGTGAATGACAAACCTGCAGCCTGCCAAAACCTACAGATGAAGCTCGGTCCGGGGTGGCATTGTGCTCTGAACCAGACCTGAGAAACACTGTCGAGCTCACCCTCCTGATTCAGTGACTAGGAGACTTCAACGACCACACTTGCTGCTGCATGATGGGCATTCAGCAGCAACTCCCTCCGCTCTGACAGATACAACGCAGGTGGAAGGGCGGATAAAAGAGCAGCTTTGACATTGGTAAGCTTTGAACAGTCTGCTTACCATAGCTTGCAGAGGCCCCTTCATTGAACTTGAGCCCAAATGTCGTTCCTCACACGCACTCTCCGAGGCATGTTGGTGCACCGAGCATTTCCACCTGTATCCCGGAGTTGGCTTTCTTAGTGGCACATGTGGTCCAGGAACTGCGGTAGACGGGCGCCCAGACCGTGCTGGCCCTAGCTGTGGCTTGAGTGTTAAGGAAAGTGGTCCGAGCTGCCCAGCCACTGCTTTTGCACAAGAATGCGCCATGCCGGTCGGGAATGTGGAGTGTGCCTTGGGTCAATCCTGGACAGCGAAAACAGCATACACGATGGGCTGGTCCGCCGCAATGCTGACGCTGAAACAGGACGTTCTGATGTGATGCAGAGTGCAAAGTGTACTTAGCGAAGGCCGGTACCTCCCTAGCATGAAGAAGAGTCTGAAGAGTGACCCTCTCTGAACAGCATTTGCTGCTGCAAAGGGGATCGAAGCCTGAGGCTCAAGAGCTCTGCAAGCATCTGCAAAGCGCGTTCCCAACACGTGGAGGCAACTAGGTAGGTAGAGCCTGAGACTAAAGGGCTCAAGATAATGGTTGGGTAGGCTACTGTGAATACTGGCATTACCGCTCCACCTCAGACTCCAGAGTCCAGAGCCGCTTCCGCAAATTAAGCTCACAATGACGTCAAATCTCATCGCTGACCGTCCGATCCCTCTGCTCTCGACCGTACATTCAAAATGGCGCGACGGAGGAACCGCTTCCACCAATCAGATTACAGAAAGTTCCCGCCAAATCGTCTTAAGGTTTTGAGTCCGATCGAGTCAACCGGCGTGACTTTCGCAGGCTTGAACTTGAAGAGACTTGAATGCCCCTACCATAGCCCTTCGCTGACATTCACTGCAGCACGGTCTTCGTAGACCAAGCGCTCTTGTCAAGGAACGCTATCCCCGCTCGGATCCCTTAGTCGCAGACCTGATTGAGTCGAAGCTTCAGCGGCTCGTGGCAGGACGATCACGAAGGAGCCCTGGTAATCTTAGTTTACCACATATATCCAGTATCAGTCCTCTGCTCTGCCAAGCACGAGGGGGAATTCGCGCCAACACAGCTGCATGTCCTCAATGCGGCAGGAAGCTGTTTGAACAGGTGTCTAAGGTACAGCAACAACAAGCGGGTGCCATCATGATGGTTTCAGAGGGTAACCCTGTGTTTACCCCGCATCCTACCCCTCAGCCTGCTCCCAATGGTGTTCGCACAGCTGTCAACTTAGTGGCCTCCCCTGGGCCCAACATGGAGGCTCGCTTTGCCAGGAGCCTGGCTCAGCAGGAGCAGCGCTTCAAGGAGCTGTGCGAGGTGAGAATGCAACTGATGCGTTAGGGTGGCTCAATTCTCCTAGATGTTCCCTGAGTCAGCTCCTTGTTGCTGTGGGTACAACGTCAAAGGTTTGGAAGGCCCCAAGAGAGTGCTGAACCTGCGAAACAAGTGCTACAAGATGCAACTCTTGTGGTGGGTAATACTGAAATCCTTGTTGTAACATGATGCTGACCCCCAGAAGATTATTGTGTGATCCTGAGCTTGTAGCTGGTTGCTCTATTGCAGACTCGGCTGTTTCTGGATGCTGAGACGCAACAGCAGGCGTGGAGTTTGTTCCTCAAGTGCGAGCCATTCATTGCAGCCAGTGCAGGCGTGGCAGGAAACTCGGTAGGTGCACTGCCTTGTCAATCAGTCGCCAAATAATCTCCTGCCCCTTTGCTCACTTGTCAGGTTGAGCATCTAGGCCGTTTGTCGTTCAGTTCAGCTTGTCTTTCTTTCAGCATTCAGTGACAACGTTTTGTCCTGGACCCCTGTTGCATGGGGCTGGGCCGCTCCAGAATCTTCTTCTGAATCGCTGTTCTGTCTTCCAGTTGGAGGACACTGAGAACCTGTGGCGCGCATGTGCGCTGCACACCATCAAGAAGCTCAGCCGGGGGCTTACTGCAGGATTCACTCTTACCCAACTGCTCCGCGCCTCAAACATTAAGTAAGTGCCCTTTCCCCTGCCATTGGCATGGTCTCAAAGTGCGGCTTGGAGAGCAATTCATTCCTGCATAACTCCTTTTGCTTAAGTTGCTCTGAGCCTCGCTTGACCCCTCCTTCCTCTCACTGCCCTTTTTCCTCCTTTGCAGCTTGGTTGATTTCTTCAATGAGTTCGATTATTACCTGGACCATGCTGGCCCGCGACTTGCGGCAGACTTTGGAGCGGGGGTGGAGAAAAGGTTGCAGGTCAGCTCTGCGCACCACTCCCAGCACCTTGCGAACATGGACCTGCAAATTCTGGGTAAATGTTTGACAAGAATGGGTGAGGCGTCCCATTGAACACCAGCATTGTACTGGCCAGCATTGCAATGCCCAGCATTTGGTAATATATTTGAGTGTCCTCACACATTGCATGTGGCATGCAGGTTAAGGAGCTCCAGGAAGACTTTGTGAAGCTGACAGTGCTGTTTGGGTAAGCACTTCGCACGAGCTAGCCTGCCGCTTTCAAGACTGTGATAACCAACTGCCCGGTCTGTTGCATCGAGCATCTGTGGCTCCTTCAGCATGCCAAGCTCCTCCATACACACAGAACTGGCGACTGTCATAGTGTAAAACGCCTTGTCGGACCAACGCCTATCACCAATGATTGGCACCACATGCTTCTTGGGGGTCTTAAGGAAGCAGTGCCCCTTCTTCTGAAGGATCACCCAGGATGCAGTGCCCCTTGTTCTGGAAATTGTCATTGTCCCTTGCAGTAGTTACGATGTACCCACCTCAGCCCCATGCTCCGCCCCTTCATTTAGTCGATGAAGTACATTATGGACTTTCGCATGTTGATCAGGCGCTGATAGCTTTCCTGCATACACCCTCACTTGTTTGCCGGTGGTTGTTGCAGCAAGTACAAGAAGGACTTCCTTGAGCTCTTCTCTTTGGAGCCTTCCCAGGGGCCTTCCCCGGCCTTCTCCTCCCCCCCTCGCCGCGGTAGCTCTGCTGCCCCCCCCCTGTCTTCCAGCCGCCCCTTCCGCCTGGGCTGGCTGCTCTTTGTGGTGGCCAAGGCGGAGGCACTGCCCCCCTTCCCGGACCTGGTCAGCTATGGCAACCTGCTCATCTGCATCCTCCACGTGCTGCTCCTCCACATGCCCACGCCCCTGCGCACTGCCGCTTTCTCCGACGCCGTGCGCTTCCCCGTCCGTGGGCCCGGGGGTGTGGACGTTCTCGGGTCGCTTTGCGCTACGTACCAGGCGGACCGCGACACGGTGCAGCGACTCATGGCTCAGGTGGGGGCAATCCTGGCAGCGCATGCCCTGCCGCCCGCCAGGAGGGCACAGAACATAGGCGCGGACGATCCCGCCGTGGACAAAACTGCTGGCGGGTACTGCTGCTTTCCGGGGCTCTTGGAGGGCGGCCACCTTGAAGGCGCGATCCGCGCGCTGGACAAGCGGTACGCGGAGGTTCTGCAGCGGGGGGGCGACGTCGACGAGCGCTCCTTCCTGGACCCCAGCCCGGCCGCCACCCTGGGCACGCCTGCGCACCTCACCCCCGCCTCCAAGCACCGCACCCTGCTCGACCGGCCCCCCATGTCCCCCATGCACCCCGCCTTTGCCTTCCCCGGCATGCCCTCCCCC